CAAGCTACTGTTACCACTACTGCCTGTGATGCTGGGAAGAACAGAGCTAGCAAGCTATTTTCACTTGGAACATAAGGAGTGGGTCTGCAGCATAAAATCATTGTATACAACAGTTTGAAAATCCATTCATATTTTTATACTACTTATATCACAGGGAAACATATTATGAAAATTTTTAGTGGTAAAGTATAAAACAGGAAAATAAAGTGTGTCATTAAGGCAGTGTTTGTGTATAATTGCAATCCAGGATGCTCATACAGATCCTGCACAGGCTTGAATTTGCCAACATAATTAACTTCCAAGAAATTCATAGAATCAGTGTACAATATCTTCATAAAAGAGAAATTTATTAAAAAGCTCCAGTTAAAGAAGGTAAAGAAATAGTCATGTTTCTAATCCTTTTGTTTCCATCTCAATTTAATTTTTGTCAATGAAACAGGCAGGAAAAAAAAACAGTAAGTGGACTGTATTAGAGTTACTTCTGCAAATATAAACCAATGTGAAATATATAATAGTCTTTTTTTTATGATTCATTATTGCATATTTATTATTTAGATGTGATGTTCAGCAGTGTGTTCTACAGTAATGAACAGCCCAGATAAATTTGTTTCTATGTGGAATATGAATTCTGAGTTTTAACTTACTGCTTTTCAGGATTTTTTGGGGCAGATGTTTTGTACACTAGGAGAAATAGTTGGATCACAGGGGAGCAGATTGGAAAAATCAATTGTGTAAGTATGTCATTCTTGAATATTGGATGAATATGTACTGTTTCATGGGGTGAGTTGCAGGGCTTTTGTGCTGTGAGGTATCTGGATACTTGGAATCAACAGACAAGGCTTCTAAAAGAGAATAAACTGTAGGTGCAATAGAAGTCCTTTATAGGCTAAGATAATTTATGTTTCAATTTGGACAATTAGCAAAAAAATCGACTCACTCAAAATTTTTGTCAGCTTCATTACAACTTGCATTAAGAATAGTTTGAGCAAACTAACCTTAAAAATGTTTTTTCTATTTAGTTCACAAATTGGCACATAAATCTTTACTGCCTTTTGTTCAAGCATCAAGGAAAAAAAATCTGTGTTTCAAGTCCAAATGTTCCTACTTGTATTTCTATTGTTCCCACTAATCCAATTCCCAACCAATGAAGCAATGTAGTGTATCAAATATTTTCTATTTACCCTACTAAATTTATCAAAAACTTTCTTAGAATCAATAGATTTTTCTCCCACTGAGAGGATTTTGATGTTTACAAGCTATTGTTCATAGGGATGTGTGGGTATTTAAAATAAGAATTGTTTGAGTTTGAACAATCTTCATTTTCTTCATCCTCAATGTTTGAATTGAAAATATTGTATAGTTTTTACCTAAATGTATGCTACAGATTCACCTATTACATTAAAAGCAAATGTTTAAAGCCTCAGCTGGACATTTCGTGTAATGGTAAGAACTTTTGACTTGGAATTTTTGTCATTTTTCTGACAAAATGCTAAAAACTAAATAACCCAATTAAATACTTTAATTTTTATAAATCCTGTGCAAGTGTTAGGTTGGAAAAACATCTAAAATTTCCTGTTTCCGTGCCAAAAGTAATTTTAGGTTGTCTCTAGAACACATTCTGGAAAAATTAGCAGTTCAGAACACACCGTTTAAATTGATAAACTAAAAGAGATTTTACATAGTTTTCCTAGAATCTAAGGATCCTTATGAAATAAAAACTTTATTTTAAAGTAAAAGAAATATTTCCCTTAGACTATGGCAAACTTTAATTATTTTTTATGTTTAGAAAATATTTTAATGTGATTTAATCTGCTTGAATTTGAGACTTGCACAAACCTGAAACAAATCCTTTTGAATCATAACTATCAGGGGTTAGCTAGCACTGCTTTGTGGAGAGGCATTCCTGTAATTATGCCCTTCCAGACCATTAGCCTTGACTAAATTCTGTCTGTAAATGTCTTACTTCCAGTCATTTGGGTTTTGTACAAAGGCACATTTCAGCTCTTCAGCAGGGCTCGTTTATCATACAGTTCATGCTGAAAAATAAGAGTAACATGACAAAAAAAGTCTTTGCAAAACATTTTCACATGGTGTTTTATCAAAATAAGTCTTTGATTTAGTTCCCCTAATTTACAGCCAACAGCAGGTGATCCAAACTGATTTGTAACAATTCTAAGCTATTAGCTCTCTTGCTGAATTCCATGAGTGCTTGTGGGTTGACCCTGACTAGACACCGGGGTCCCACCAGAGCTGCTCTATCACTTCCCCTCCTCAACTGGACAAGGGAGAGAAACTGTAACAAAAGTGTCAGGGGTTGAGATAAGGACAGGGAGAGATCACTCAGCAATTGCTGTCATGGGCAAAACAGACTCGACTCAGGGGAAGAAATAGTTTAATTTATTACCAATCAAATCAGAGTAGAGTAATGAGAAATAAAATCAGATCTTAAAAACAACTTACCCCTGCTCCTCCCTTCTTCCTGGGCTTAACTTCTGATTTTTCTATGTCCTCTCCACCAGCAGCACAGTGGGACAGGGAACTGGGGCTGTGGTCAATTCATCACACATCTCTGCCGCTCCTTCCTCCTTGGGAGGGAGGACTCCTCACACTCTTCCCTGCTGCAGTATGGGGTCACTCCAATAGGAGACAGTCCTCCGTGGACTTCTCCAACATGAGTCAGGCTGCAGTTTTTCAGCCTGAACTGCTCCAGTGTGGGTCCCTTCCATGGGTGCAGTCCTTCAGGAACAGACTGCTCCAGTGTGGGTCCCTGTGGGGTCTCAAATGCTGCAGCAAACCTGCTCCAGCCTGGGCTCCTCTCTCCATGGGGCCACAGGTCCTGCCAGGAGCCTGCTCCAGCGTGGGCTTCCCACGGGGTCACAGCCTCCTTTAGGCATCACCCTGGTCCAGTGTAGGATCCTCCCTGGGATGCAGGTGGTGATCTGCTCCACCATGGGCTGCAGGGGCACAGCAGCCTCATCATGGGATGTACCAAGGGCTGCAGGGGAATCTCTGCTCCAGTGCCTGCAGCACCTCCTCCCCTCCTGCACTGATGTGTCGGCAGGGATGTTTTTCTCATATCTTCTCAGTCTGCTCTGCAGCTATACTTGCTCCTGCCCAGTAACTTCTTCTCCTTCTTAACTTTGTTATCCCGATGTGTACCATCATGCTGATGAGTTCAGCCTTGGCTTGGGGCAGGTCCATCTTGAAACCAGCTGCATTGGTTCAGTGGGACAGGGGCAAAGCTTCTAGCAGCTTCTCACAGAAGCCACCCTTCCATCCCTTTTGCTTCCAAAACCTTGCCATGCAAAACCAGTACACTGCTGTCATCATTACTGCCGCAGCATACTTTAACAATATGATTCATATTCTCTTTATATTCATAATTGAGATCAGTAATGAAAGCATTTTTGCTGAATTTGTGGGAGTTCTGAATATAGTTCGGTCACCTGATCACTGTATTTACAGACTTGGTCTTCATAACAATTCCTTAGCAATCCTCCCTGCCCCCTGCACAACCTTTCCTGCCTTCCTCACCCTCCTTTCCCAAGGACTACACCAGTACCTTTTGGGGCTTATTTGTCCTATACATAAGCAGTTCTATTAATATCACTATGTGTTCCTTTCTCTGTATTGGTGGGACTGTGCACCCTGGGAACTGCTTCATTTTAAGGGTATTTCACTCTGCAGGTGAGTCAGGTTTCAGTATCTGCAGCATAATTCAGCAAAACTCTTAGAATCACACTATCTAAACTTAAAACCACATCTATGCACATGTTAATGTATCTTAGAAGTAATGCTACTTCACTGTATCACTTCCTTCAATAACCTGAAAAGCTACCCAAAAAAGGTACTTTAAAATTCTGTTATTTTCGTGGTATCATCAAGGTTTGCAGATGAACTTTAACTTTTAAATAAATGTCCTTCAATTTCAGCAGCTAATGACAAGTTGTCTGCAATAAATATTGTATAAAACTCAACACTAAGAAAAGGTAACACTCCCCCCTGAAAAAAAAAATCCAACCCAAAACCCCTAAATCAGCCCCCTAAATCCCTAAGATTGATTGCATCAGTTTTATGAGTGGTAAATTACTGTTTAATTTATTATGACTAGTGTGGAACAGTAGGAAACTGCTAATTGTAATCTAGCTCCTGCAAAAATCCCCACACAAACAAACAGTGAAGAATCAGCTGATCAGATTTCTCATACAATCATACAAAATGGTTAACTTCTGGAAATAGTGTCATTATTAGACAAGAGTGTTTTGCAATTCTCCTCTTAATCCCATTCTGGATATTAAACTTTTAAAAGCCTGTCCAGGAAATAGCCTTGAGGACAAGTGTAGTTAAGTGATACAATAGAAGAGGTGTGTTAGATTGCATGACTAAAAAGCTTTCTGCAAACAAAGAAGACAGGCACAATGGCAGGTGGGGCACCCCAGATAATACCTAGCTACTTCCAGACCCATCCCAGGAGAGTCATCAACTCATTGATGTCCCATCTCCACACCCACAGAGGAGCACAGAGGTAGAAAGCAGGTGGGACTCCAGTAACCTAATTAGAGAAGCAGCTCCTGCCCAGCTCCCGGGGGAGCCTCAGCACCATAGGATGTGACACACTCTGTACTGGTTCTGGACATGTGTTTAGTTTTTTGATGGTGAGCAGGTTGGTTGCATAGTTTGTCTGTTGAGCACACAAACACTATCCTATTGACTGGCACAAGAGGTTGGCCCTATTTTGTTTACTTACACTAAAACAAAAGTTCACTAACTTTTCACTGTCTAGGCCTAATGTAGGCCAACAGTGAATTGCACTGTTGCAACTACGTTGACTGTTTTGATTAGTTGTCAATTGACTCTGCTGAAAGCCTGTAGTAAATTGCTCAGAGAAAGGTGTGTACTTTAAAGGCTTCCATATTACAGAATCTTAGAATCATAGAATGATATGGGTTGGAAATGACCTTAAGATCATCAAGTTCCAACCCTCCTGCCATGGGCAGGGACACCTCACACTAAACCATGCCACCCAAGGCTCTGTCCAACCCGGACTTGAACACCGCCAGGGATGGAGCATTCACAACTTCCTTGGGCAACCCATTCCAGTGCCTCACCACCCTTACAGTAAAGAACTTCCTCCTTATATCCAATCTAAATCTCCCTTGTTTCAGTTTAAACCCGTTACCCCTTGTCCTATAGCTGCAGTCCCTGATGAAGAGCCCCTCTCCAGGATCCCTATAGGCCCCCTTCAGATAACTGGAAGGCTGCTAGGAGGTCTCCACGCAGCCTTCTCTTCTCCAGGCTGAACAGCCTCAGCTTTCTTAGCCTGTCATATTTAGTGAGACAAATCTTGCTGACTTCTTGAAGCTCTTTTATAGTTTTTTTCTTTCTGAAAAGTGGTAAATTATTCAGCACACTACACTTTTTTTTTTTAATGAGAAAATTCCTGAAATTTGTTTTAAACATATAGATTAAGCATCATCCATTCAGCAGTGTGTTATCACTTGGTATGGGTTAAGTGAAGTCTGATGTGAGTAACAGGAAGGAAAAGATATCAGTGAAGCTTCTATGGAAAAAAAGGTCTTATAATTATTTTGCAGTTGTGTGGGACTGTATAATACATTTTTCTCTTGGGTAAACAAGTATTGTTCAGGTCTGGCTTCTGATACTCTTGTTGTATGGCAGCTACTAAGTGGACCCAAATCAGTTGTCCACCTGAAAGACTTTGAAATGTGACTTCCTTTTGTTATATGTGGTGTGGGTAGATATTTGTTAATGAAAAAGTGTTCATGACCTTTTATCAGCTCTTCCCAGCGTTCAGATTTTATTTTGTCATTGGTACTTTTGACAGTGCTGTGGCTAGACAACTGTCCCTGGTTGGTTGTTCACTCTGAGGTCTGGATACCTTGGTGACTGGGAGACATCTGTTGTCTTACTTTAGTCATTAAACTGTAGCACTGCATTTCAGCATTGTTTGCTTATTGGCATGTGTTTAATATCTCTTAATATTCATATAGCAGTAATTCAATTGACAATATTGCGTGTCTTCTGTTCCTAAGGGTATTTCCTACTTTGAATTTAGCCTTCTTTATACAAAGTCAAGTCCACATACACATGATTTGGATGTTCTTTATGATCTGTGACTAGAGTTCAGAGAGCTTTTTCTCTTCACAGTATTTCTGAAGTTCATTATCATTCTGCCTTTTCTATTCTCAGCAAGTGGATGTACAAAGAAGAGAATGCCCAGTGCTGTTTTAGTCCCAATCAGCTACTCTACTGAAGTAGCACTTTTTGTACTTAAGCAGCTTGAGGAGCTTGTATTCCATTCTCTGATTGGCATTCAAGAAAGCTGTGACGTTTCTTGGAAATGAAAATTATAAATACTCAAAGCTTGAACTTCAGATCTATCTACTTTGGACATTTACAAAAGACTCAGGAGATTCAAGACTCCATGGCTGTCATGAGCTGACCAACTCTAAGTCAGATTGTATATCACCAGGTAAAATTCCCTTAGGATACTCTTGTTCTTCATTAAAACAAAGGTAAATCATCTCGAGCCTAGAGGGGTGACAGACAGTGGTCTGTCAGGCAGACTGAAGAATACCTTGCTGCTAACCTTCATGGTTGAGTACAAAAGTGAAGATGTACACACACATTTTTCTCCTTTGCCTTCATGACAGGCATGACTTGAAGTTTCATTGGTCTTGCAAGCACCAGCAAATTGCTCATCTGAGGCATGAACCTAATATTATTTGGTCTTGGCAGTTATGCAGATGTCTCCTGAGCATCCCTTTCTGTTTCTGATACTATTAAGGGCTTTAAATTCTATGCAGTCTGCTATAGAAGACTCTTGTTCCCAGAATGGAAGCGTGCTGGCCTGTTATCCTTGTGACTATGAGCAGTTCTGTTCAAGAGCATACTTTAGTGTTGCACTTTATTTTAAAGACTGGCCAGGTACAGAGATGAACATTTGCTTGGGATTATTTCACTTGGAAAGTAAATCCGATCATACAAAGCAGGTGAAATGGAGAACCTGACATTTTAACAGTAATGTTTACTCTCTTTACCTATTGGGTTACTAGATTCATTAAATGGCTTCGCAAGACAAACTCCATGCGTAAGATTTACTCAGACTGGCCTTGTGTGCCTCAGTTTTGTTAGCACAAAAGGACAAGGTACAGATGTTTCTAATTCCAGAAATTGTACAGCTTTATTTTTCTCTCAACAGAGCATTACCTTCCCAGGCATCGCTCAGAATTAGATATTTTCATGTTCTGTCTTCCTAGAGAGAAGATGCTAGCCACTTTTATAACTGAGCAATGTTTCTTTCAGGATCTCCTAAGCGCATTCCTGTAGGGATTCCCTTTAATGATGAGGCAGAGATATTGCAAAGCTTAATGAGCGTTCCATGCTAGTTATTCACATCTGAGTGCTATTGCCTGCTAATGAGGTTGTACTGGAGCCAGCTGGCCTATTTTGGAAAGTTCATTGTCCTGTCATCTTTCTGTGAACATAATTGATAGAAAAACATCTGAACCCCAGAACTATATATTTGTCTTATCCTCTTATCTGTGGTTGTGACTGCCAGAGCTAGGTTTTGTAAATTCAGGGATAAGACTAAATGTTTTAATGATCAGAAAGGTGTTCCTTCGTCTGCCTCATTGCCATTTCACCTTGCAAAACTGGAGGCTCTGTTTAACCTCTCAGGTTTGAATTCCCAGATAAATTGTCATTTTTCTCCAACTTTATCACCAGTTCCTTTCCATCCTTGTTGAAGCCCAAATGGTCTTCAGAGTGCTTTTCAAAATTCTCTAGGTGCTGCAGGTGTGGAGTCTCAGTCATGGAATCATTTGCTCTAAACCAATTACTCCTCAAGACTGTATCTTATCTAGAGACATGCATATATTGATGAGGACCTTGCATTTGATGGTTTTCTGTTTGATTCCTCTAATAGTCAGATTACTTGCTCCTTCAAATACTGTCCAAAAAGAGATGATTGTCGTAGAACACCTTCAGGTTCTAGCTCTGAAACCAGTAAGACTCACTGAAACGTAAATCTTCCTTACATTTTACTTTCTTTGATTCAGTTTGCACCCTATTCACACTTAGACTGGCACATTTTCTATATCTGAGTGTCATATAGCTAGCACTGAGTATTGGAGTTGACAGTGCTTATGCAATACAGATTGCCTTACTATTACCCCACAAACCCTCAGGGTTTCCACAGAAATTTACCCTGAGAAACTGGTTGCCTAAACATAAGTTCTGTATTGTCACTTCAATGCTATAGAACCAATTCCATGGCAGCTCAGTACCAGTTATTCATGAAAGTGAAAGAAGACGGGCAGTGGCACTGCATTCTTGGTTTAAACAGGTGGAACTCTTACATGCTCATCTTCAAGGTAATATTAGTCAATATTTCTGTGGCAATGGGAAGAACTGGTCTGTATTGCTGAATCTCTAAGTAGTGTATTTTCATGCAGTGATAAGACCAGTTTAAAATTATTTTGATATTCTCAGAAGGCATTATTGCTATTTAAAGGTCTTGCCATTTGGCTGATCTGTGACCACTGAAGTTTTTTTCAGGGTGCTGACTTTGTACTTGAGGATATTTTCCTTAATGAATAGTTTGTAAGGGAATTCATAAGAGAACAAACTCTTTAGTGTCTGCAAATGGTCCAGCACTTCTTTTATGCTTGTAGTCTCAAGACAAGCATTCAAAGATCGTACTTAATAGTGTCACAAACTGTAGAGGTCATTTGATAGAATTTTTAGTTCCTGAATAGTGGGAACTTTCTGTTCTGTAGAGAAATTCTGTGCTATCCTCAGTTAAGCATTTCACTGCTGTGCCAGCCATCAGTGGCAATATTATCCTTCCTTTATAAGGCATGTGTCCTTAAGAACCTTGGAGATACATGAAGCTGAAGCTTACCCTAGGTTGCTTTTAGATATTACTTTTCACATCTACTTTTCACATCTACTCAACTACCAAGAATTCCTTTTTCTTTTTTTTTTGCCTACCCATACCCACCTAAATATCTTCAGGGGATTGCCTCTCCAGTTTCCCCAGTCCTTCAGAATGATAATTGCAGACATATGTATCTCTTGGGGTTGGGCAATATTACCAAGTAAGTGGTTTCCGTACTGCTGTTACTACAACATTTCAGAAGTTTTTGAAGCTTCAAGAAGTACTGTTCAAAAGAAAAAATGCAGCTTTTTTATCTTTTGAAAATCTGAGATTTCAATTTCAATATCCCATTGTTACAGAGGCTAAAATGGGTAATTTTCACTCCTGACCCGTAGAAGAGTGGAAGATATAAAACCTTATGAATTGAAGAAGCTGATAAAACCGTGAATTGTACCATGTAATATTTGTAATGTCCAGATTATTTTTCCTGTTGTTTGAAGAAAGTTCTCTGATTCGGTCGTAAAGGATTGTACTCTATGTCATGCCACATTAAATGGAAGAATGCCAGAAGTTTTGTGTGTATATGAATAGTCATTTAAAATTTCACAACAAACCTTGAATAGTTTCCCTATCCACTGTTTTCCTTGTGAAATTCAGATTTACCATGCAGCACTGAGGAGGTCCAGGAGAGCAGTCATGTGCACTTCTGATGACTGACAAATGATTGCAGTGGCTAAGGAGCAGCATTTCTTTGTGTGTTCCTTATTGTCCTGGGTTCAGCCGTAGCAGTCATTTTTTCTGCTTAGTAGCTGGTGCAGTGCTGTGTTTTTGACTTTCGGCCTGGGAACAGTGCTGATAACACCGGTGGTTTTAGTTACTGCTCAGTAATGTTTACTCTGACCAAGGACTTTGTGAGTCTCATGCTCTGCCAGGGAGGAGGGGAAGCCGACAGGAAGCAGAGACAGGACACCTGACCCAAACCAGCCAAAGAGGTATTCCATACCACAGCACGTCATGCCCAGTATATAAAGTGGGAGCAGTTACCCGAAGGGCTTAGATCACTGCTCAGTCGGGCTGGGTATCTGTCGGCAGGTGGTGAGCAGTTGTATTCTCTTCCCTTGTTATTT